TGGATTTTGAACTAAGTTCTTCCATGCTTAAGCACAAAGACGTGATGAGTGGCCATAAAGCAAGCACCTCAGTTATTTATAATTTCTGGGCTACACAGCATGACTGCAAAGTATGTGATGGGGCTGGGACTCTGACAGATAGATGAAAGCTAAAAATTAGTGTAGTGCAGGAGTGACTCCAGAAAGGACAGGCTAGAGGTCAGGATGGAGGGAAAAAATAATGTCTGCAGGACCCCCAAGGCAGGAGGCAGATAGGGAGGTGCTTCCCCCTCCCCCCAAAAATACTGGAAGACACACAAAAAAAAAAAACAACTGAGAACAGAGAAGCTGACCAGTGGCCCAGACTGACTCCCAGATCATCAAGGACTCTAAAATAAACAGGCAACATTTGGAATATAGACACAGACAGCCAGTTGAGGGAAGTCATTATTCTTTTCCATGTGGCACTTTTGGAGTCACACAATAAGTAGTGGGTCCCACTTGGGGTATCCCAGGACAAGAGGGATGCTGCTAAACAGTGGGGGCTCAGCAGAGGCCCACCAAGATGATTTTGGTTGGACTGTGTCCATGTACAGAGGGGCTGAGGGAGCTGGTGTGTTCAGCACAGAGAGCAGAAGGCAGAGAGCATCTCATTGCTGCCTTCAACTCCCTCTCAGGGCAATTTTTACAGGGAGGACAGAGCCAGACTCATTCTAAGAGATACAAAGCAGAAGGATGGGACAGAAGAGTCACAAAGTGCATCTAGGGAAACCCTGCAGGATATAAATCCACAGCTAACGTGCTTAAGCACTGTAGCAGGTAACCCAGGGAGTTTGTGGGCTCTCCATCCTTGTAGGCATTTAGTGCTGCATTAGACAAGATCCTGAGCAGCCTGGCCTAACTCAGACTTTAGCTGTGCCCTGGGCACCTGACACATCATATGGCCTCCAGGGGAGCTCCCAACTTGAGTTATTCTGGTTCTGATCTGCGCCATTTGGGAAGGAATGAGAGGTGCCAGCCAAGAAATACTCAGTAAAGAAAGTCATGGAGCCCAGTGAAATAGAACATTCAGTAAACACTCAGCCTGGGCCTTACTCCCCAGTGTGTAAATGGGAAATGAATCTTATTTCACATGGTATCCAAGGGTGTACATGTCTCAGCAGGTGGAGTAAGGTTTGCATTTGTCCCAGGCTCAGAGAGGAGGCATGAGGAGTAAAGCACTTAAAATTTGCCATATTTGTTGGTATGCTATTTAATTTTTATACTTCAATACCAGGAATAAAACACCCTTACCTTCACCTCACAAAAGTGCCACCTGGTTCTGTTTTTGGCTGTGTTTCAAATGGGGAACGGGCAACTTTGAGGGGACGGTCACCAGCAATAGTTTGGAAAAAAATTAAGAAAATATTTCAAATTTGTAATATTCAAATAATCTGAGTATTTATACTGCAGGTTGCTTATTGCAGTATTTCTGTGTTTGCAGATGGAAAACCCAAATAGGATCAAGTGCAGATATAGACATTGTCTGTAGACAGTTTCTAATGTATCCAAAAAATTCTGGGCACAAATGTATTCAGTTATTTCATTGGTATTTAGTCTATTGTTTACAAAGAAATAGACAGATAATAGGATGAGAATTTTCTTGTTTATAATTTGTGGCCCTGTAGATAATTTTTTTAAGGAAAGAACCATGAAGAACGTGCAAGGAGCCTCTTCCATTTCGTTTCTTTGTTGACTTTCATTTGGACTGTTTATTGAATTATTTATTTGGTTTTCCCCTCAACTGTACTTCTTTCTGGAAAATACCCATGAGACATATGTTTTGAATGCTTTTGTTGAACCTTAGCTGACATGGCCATCTCGAGAACACAGGCATGCTTGCACATTTATGGACACGGCGTACAGGCCTTGACAGACACACCTATCAGTGGCAGGCCATCACTGAAAAATCTCTTTGTGCTTTTACTGACAGACTGGTTTGGTGTCTCACTCTTCAGCTCTGTGCTGTTTGAAGACTGATTTCCTTTCCTGTGTTTTGTTTTTCTCATTTTATAAGCCAAAGTAGTTCTTCTGCTTAATTTAGTTACTTCATTAATGATATAGGAGGGTTTTTAAACTTATATGTTCCTATTTGGAAAATAGGCTAGTGTTTATTCTCTTCAGTGATCATATCCCATGTTGTGAAATGTAGCCACTTAGAGTTTTTTCTTCTGCTTAGTCTAAACCTTTATTACTGGCACAACTCACACCAGCACCTTCTGGAGGACTGAGGTAACCAACTGGCTTTGGTTTAGGGGTCAGTTTGGAAACACATTCTTAAGTTTTAAGGGTTTTCCATTGAAGACTAGAATAAACCAAAGGGCCATTGACTTACATGCATGCTACTCATGTGAGTAAATGATTTTAAAAAGTCTGTTTCTCTTTTGTAAATCATAATTTTGTGACCAAAAAGGAACTTTGGATTTTGGAACTTTGATCCTTGTGCTAAATATAGTGATTCCATGTTCTTAAGCTTTAATTAAACTGTCTTAGAGCCTTTAATTAATTTTGTTTAAGATACATGAGGATTTATAGCTATAAGTATTGTTGGTCAGGAAACTCTTTTCTTCAAAGTTTGATAAAAGCATAAAGATTGATAAAAGGAAATGATTTTGTGAGAGGTTGAATACGTTCACAACAGCAATTACTTCTGTCAACCACAGCAAGAAAACTGGCAAATGGAGTAAATATAAAACACTTTTCTGGCCACTAAAGCTTGTTATGAGTAGATATGCATAAACTTCCAAGTTTCTTTTGATGGAGTTCCTCCCTAAACACTCCAGCTTCATGGAAGAGGGTCAGTTCCTATGGAAAATGGGCAAGAATTTGAAACAATAAACCTCATAATTTTCCTGAATGCGTAGGAGGCCAGACCTAGCAATGGGAAAGATGAAGTACTTTGTGCCAGCTTGGATTGCTGGTACCAAGTGCAACATCTGATAAGCAGAATATCCTCTTCAGCACCAGAACCCTGCATATATTGCAACTTCCACTAAAATTACTTTAAGGGACACAATTCACCCCAGACAGCCTTCTAGAAAACACTCATATTGATAACTCGGGATCTGTGTATCCCTTTTTCAAAACATCCTGAGGCAGTGAATCCCATCTTTTTCTTTTCCATGAATGCTCATTTTTATGCTTTACTTAATTCACATTGTAAGTGAATGCACTGAATTTCATGGATATAAAAATACTCTTTTGAAACTGTATTTTAGTAACAAACTGGATATTTCAGCTTTATTCTTTAACTCATGAAAAACAAAATTTAAAAAAAAAATGAAAAAATCCCCTGCCATCTGGAATTATTGTTATTGTTTATAAAATTTAAGTAGTTTACTGCAGTAAGAGCCAATTAAATACTTCTTTTGTTGAAATCTTGTCCTAGAGCTGAGAGAGGTCTTGACTACAAACTAAAACTTCTAAGTCTGAATCCTCTGTAGTTAATTCCACTTATGTGTCGGGGATTTCAGTAGGGATGAAAAAAATCTACATGGTCATGTTCCATTCATGACAAAATTCACATGTTCATCCTGTTCATAGTTTTGTTAAAAGCACCAAGAAATGTCAATGACGGGTTATAAAGACACAAAATGGATAATCCAGCCATCACTCTATGGTAGAGCAGGACACCTGGATTTGTTCGGTTTTGGTTTTAAAAAATAACATTTCTTTAATCCTGTGCATTACTCGTGATTAAGTCGCACTGCAAAACACTGATGCATGCAAATGCACTCCCCACACACAGGGTTCCATTCAGAGGCCTTACACACAGCAAATGACATCTGGTTCATTGAGGGCACTTGTAGGACCTCCTCAAACACTAAGGTGAGACAACAGGTCGTTGTTTCTTCCATCATTTCAGACTGAATCCTGTCACAGATGGGTGACATGCAACAGCAAAATCTGAAAATAACAGAAAGAGATACCATGAAAGATGGGTCTGTGAACCTAACTGTGGCCTGCAACGGCTGTGGAAATCTTCTATGGCTTACATCTTGTCCAAAGCTTTAAGGAGAGAAGGGGATTTTTTATAAGGAGAATTACAAGCTTACCTGTGGGAGTTTCCTCTCCAGTAGTTGGTGAACAAGGCATTGACAGACTGCATCAATGAGCAGGTTGCTGAGTATATGACAAATGAAGTGTGATGGAATCATCTGCTTCCCCAGACAATCTGTACCAACCCTAATGAACAGTAGTACAAGAAAAGAACAATAGTTGGCATGTTTGTAGGAAATTTGGCTTGTTGCTACTTCTAACTGCTGTGTGGGACAGCGATTTTGTATTTTCAAGCTACAAAAATAAGCCCGAAAAGTGTAACTGCCTTAAAGACACCCGTTGCAAGCTGCACACAGACACTGTCTTTGGCCAGCATGAGAGATGGAGCCTGGACTTGCAGAGCTGTCAGTGTTCCAGTGCCAGGCATCTGCTCCTGGCCCCCAGAGACATGGTCTGGGTTTATTCACCTGGTCACTCAATGGGGCACTTGAATGTTCTGGGCTGCAGCAGTGGGACTGCCAGGCTGAGTCACATTTAAGTTTCTCATGTCTGCAGGTCCCCTGTTTAGCAGTGAGATGTCATGCTCTCACCTATGAAAGTTGTGCATGTTTTTCTGCTTGAACTGGTGGCCCATTTAGCCTCATGTATCTTCTCTGCCACCTCTGAGGTCCATGGGATGGACTGATCACTGCATTGATCCCAAGTTTGTTCTGTATCCTGCTTTTCCATAATGGCCACTGCACACCGAGTTGCTGCCAGCAACACTTGACAACATCAGACTGTTACAAATCTGGTTCAAGACCCTCCTTGGTAAAGCAGTGTTTCATACTGAGGTCTCCAACAGCTTGCATGACAAGGCTGCTGGCTGAAAAGGTAATCCATTATTCATTTGGGTAATATTTTGCTCAGACATGCACAGGACAGCTAAAATTTGCATGATCCTTGAATTTTTCAGAGCAGTTGTGTTTCTATCAGCCAAGAAGACGACTGTGGATCAGCACACGCTGTTGCCTCACATAACTGAACAGGTCCTGAATTTGGAGTTTCCTGCTTTCCCTAAACCCAGATGATCAGCTGGAAGGCAGCTTCCCTGCCCTGGATTTTTTGATTTAAATCAGCAAAAAAAGGTAGGTGTGAGAACATCCATCAAGTCGTTCTGTGTCAGGCTCCTGGGAGCAATGGTGAAGTTATCCACTGGATACACAGGCAGGAGCTATGGAAAGATGGCAGAGAGGTGCTCAGGATGGGAATCTGCTCTGTCCATCTGCAGAGCACTGATTAGATATAATATGTAGTGGCTGTTGTACCAGTTGCTGATTGTTCCTATTTGGGACAGAAATGTGCTGCCTACGGCCTGTGCCTCTCACACAGCCCCCCCTTGGCAGTGCTGGAGGTAAAACATGGGGCAGCTTCTGTTGGTGAACCCCTTGTCCCAGGAATATGATCACATTCTGTGTGAGCATCCATGACCCAACTGCTAACAGACATTTTCCCAAGTATTTCTTGCTGTTCACTCGCCTAATTAGATGAGCAAAATTGCTTCATTCCACTCCCTGGTGTAAATCTGTGATAGCTTTATCAGCATCACACTGTAAACTGTAACGCTGTAATCAGCCCAGAACATATCTGCCTATTTCCTGAGAGTTTGAAGGGCCAAAATGTTACATTTTTATGTGCAGTTGGTTTGATCAGTCTCACAGCCTCCTCTCTAAACAGCGTTTTATTGCAATTTTCGTTTCTCCAGACTATTTTAATTAAAATACAATGTTTTACTTATAAAATGAAACAACCACGTTCATTAGTTATAGTGTCAGGGAAGTTTTTTGCTGACAGTTCTATACTAGTGTTAATCCTGCAAACTCTAGACTCCTTAAAGAATAAACCATTTCAGCATACGACCATCAGATTATGAGATCTCTTTGTCCCCAGCTACCTTTTCACAGTTAGGGGAACACTCGCTCTGTCCTTTGCTCTGTCACCACAGCAGAAAATTGTTTCACAAGTCTTTTTAGCAGTAGATATTTGGATTCTCCAGTCTGTAATTTCCTCCCAAAATGAACAGAGATCTTAGAGATCAGAGATTAAACTCAGAGAGGAATTATATCAATAACAAAAATTATCCTGTGAATTTGTTTTAATCACGTAGTTCAACTGCTTGAAGCAACTATGATACCTAAACAGAACTCAGGCCACTTGGCTTACATCTTCTCTTTCTGTTCAGTCATCTGAATTAAAGCTAGCCTTCATTTTTACCTTTTAATGGCAGTTTTATTTATCTCACAATTTTGTGAGATCTTGGTCACTCAGAACTGTTCATGGCAGAAGCTTCCCCTGTTGCCTTACCATGCCTGCATGTGCTTCCAAGCTCTGGAGATCTTTCTGACCAGGACAAGCACCTCTGGCTTATGCTGAGCTGAGCTCCTGATGGTGCATTAGCTGTCCACAAAGGAAAAGAAAAATTTAATTTGTGGTAATGTGACAGTTCTCATATACTTGATTGTTTGGCAAGCTTCACAGAAGCAGGGATTTAGCAAAGAAACACTTAACTCTGCCTCATTTGTTGAGATACATCTATATTTTGAATTAGAAAAATATGATTAGAATATAAATGCTAAAGGACACGAATTTTTGCCCTGTGTATCTTTGTGACTTCCCATAAAGGCTTATGACACAGCTCTCAGTAGAGTGAACGTAGCCAGGCACAATCTAACAAAATCATCCAAGAGGATATAAATGGCAACAAGAGAGATATGATCTGAGCGTTTTTTTGGGTTAGTTTGGTTGGTTGGGTATTTTTTTTATGCAAGACCATGCACATGGTTTAAATACCTTCACAGGCTATATATAGCACAGGAGCTTCCAACTCACAGGGAAGTTTTAGTCACACAAACAGGGAAAAAACTTTGCAGCCTGGCTGGCTTTCAGCAAGCAAATTACTCCTGAGAGACACAACTGGTTAAGCCTGAAAAACCTCAGAGGTGTCAGCTTTGACTGGCAGAGGTGTGAACCCACATTCATGTGGGCCCAACCTGTCTGAGAAGTCAGGTACAGAGTTTGTTGTAGGGGTATTGGACATATATTCTGATAATTGAGACATATATTCTAATAATAGGGCATAATTCAGATAAGTGAGAGCTCAGGGTATATGCTTTTGAGCAGGGTGACTCAGAAGTATATAGAAGTAGGTCAGTGACCAAGAAAAAACTTGGGAGGGCATCCTGACCTCTACATTTTAAGAAATAGTAGAATAAAAAAGTGAAAGATTAAAGAGAAATGGATGGATAAGGGTAAAGCAAGCTTTTCACACTAATTCAGAAAAGAAATACACAGTTAAAAAACTATGAAAAATAATTGCCAAGCTAAGAAGTCACAATTTGAAATGCAGTATATATGGTATATAAAATACTTTTCTTGTCAGGACATCCAGAACTTCTCCCCTGATGTCTCGGTTTTACTGAAAACGTCTCTCTGCACATTAACCAGGCTGCCTCCATTAAAGCACAATCAGGTAAAATTCCATATCCACAGGGAAACCTTGCATGAACCTGTAAGAGAGAACTACCTGACTTAATCCCATAAAAACCTATAAATACTTCATAAATCACTTCCCCTTCTGAATTAAGAAAAAAAATCCTTTAAGGTGTACATTGTAAATTAGTTTAATCCAGTGAAGTGGTCCATTGCTGAAATGCATTTCCCAGTACTCTTTAAAAGTAAAGAGTATTTTTTTCTTTCATGAACTAATTACTAACTCTGGGTACTCCTTGAATGATGTGATACAGATTTTGTCATTCCTAGTATAGAGTTACTGAAAACTGCATTGAAAGGTCATAAATTTAAATATTTATATTTTATTATCAAATGTGTCTTATTTTTTCCCTAGGTTTTCATTTATTCCCCCATTCTAAAAATATCTTATAAAGGACTTGAGTTATAAAGAAACTCCAAGTTTTTTTCCTTAGTATGTTTTCCACCAACTCTCTGCAGTCAAGAGCTGCAAGGTTCAGGACTTTCATTCTCTTATCTCTTGCCTTATATACATACATACAAACAAAATCTATTAACTAGCAAAAAGGGGGTCAGAAGAAATGAAAACATACTTCACACTTGTGTCTGCTTGCTTGCTTTCCTCCCCACAAAAAGAAGAAATATGAGTCATTCTACACGTCTCTGTTTGACTAAGGCAAGAATTCCCTGATTAATACAATAAAACAGGCTTTCCCAGGGGACAAAGCAACAGGCTGACAAAGTAAAAATAGAAAAGGAAATGTGGGGAATGCACAACTGGTTTCAGAACTATTCAATTACTTCAGGTCTGTGTTACAATATTTAAAATACTACAGTAATGCGCCTTAATTGCTTAGCATTCCTCTGTCTTTTAAAAGAGAAAATATTTTATGCAGCATAAAAACACTCTCTAAACTTGTCTTATATAGTGTTGAGTGCAAGCAAGTCCAAAATTAACAGAAGAAATCTGTTCACCTATTACTGTTAGCCCTTGTGCATGCAGAGAAACTTAAAAAAAACAAAACCAAACCATTTTCCCATTGTTACAGATATACAGAACGAGCTGCTAGTATGAAAAGGGAATACATTCATGTGGGTTGCATGGGTATATTACATACAGCAGGTGGCCATATAGAAACAAGGGCAGGTACTGAACAGCTGTGCACAAAAAAAATAGCATTAATTACCTACTGGCACTGTAGAACTAGAGGTTTGTTTCCTATAGTTGAATAATAGTTCCTTCAGCATCTTTCCAAAACACATTTACAGACTCAAACAACTGCTCATGATAACGAGGAAATTCCATACCTAGTTCACAATATTATCAGGCAACTAAATCTGTTTGTAAAAGTTGTGAGTGCATATTAGCATTCACATGCCACTCTGTGTTGGCACCACATATTTGCACGCCAAAAATCCACAGTGTGGCCACCACATGACCCCAAAAATCAGACAAACAAGGAGGAAGTATTTTTCTTTTGTCACTGACTGTAATGAAATTACATACAGAACATATTTTGCCATTTGTAGGCAGCTGCAGCAAAAGGACTGGATAATGGATCTTTAATATTAATTTATTGATAAAAAAAGTGAGAGCTAGTTTCTATCAGCTCTTTTATCAGAAAGCTGGCAGCACCATCTCCATTTCTGAGAGCAGAAGAAAGAAGATTCAGATGAAATTAAGTACAGTCTTTAGATGTGCAAAGCAGAAGAATAACAAGGGTGTGAGCCTGGAAAGCATCTCCCTCTATGTCCATCTTTATTTTCAACCTTCAGAAATCATAAATGTCCTCATACTGCAGTTTCATCAGAAAGAAAATCTAATTACATGAAATTTGCTTTATTTCAGAAAAATATATATGATCTTTAGATTACAAAAGTATTGTTCCATCTTAGTTTTTTATTTTATCACCTATTTTGTGGTCTCATATTTACAAGGTGACACTAAATACTTGTGTAACACAGCAGGTTTTAGCTGAAATGTCCTTAAAAGGAGAAGAAAAATGTAAGATATAGCAATGTCAGAAATCTGGACATACACATACAGCTTGCATTTATGTGTCAGAGAGTAACAGAAAATTATATGTCCAAGTTTTGCAAGACATAAGTCCTTGCTGTATATTGCCAGGATTTTCATTAAAAGATCAGATTGAATAGAGTCAACTGGTTGAGGTGGAATAGGGAAAAAAAAGGAACAGGATCACATTCCAGGAACACACTTCTTAAAATTGTACTCTATTATCCTATTTTTTTTCCAATACTATCTCCTATAAGCCATGAACAAAAAACTGGTGCAACCTACATGTACGTACCACAATTTGTAGATTAATTTATTTAAATGTCATAGGTCTTTTAAAATAGCATTAAAATAATCTAATGGATCAAATGCTATGCAACAAATGCTATGGAGTTCATTAGCTAATTTTCTGCATTTATTGAAACAACGTGTGACTGACCAATCACATGCTATTTTGAAAGGCATTCAGTCATGATACCAGTTTTATTAGTCCTTTTGTAATTAATCACAGTAGTTCACTGAGTAAGAAAAACAGCATGCATTTGTTGGAAACAATCAGTGACAGTCACAGGTTTGACAGTCATTTTAGTGTGCTAAATTGTGTCCCAAACCCAAGAACTGCACCTGCCTCCTCTCCAGCCTTAAAACATCGCTTGGACTCCTCAGAGTGACAAGTGAGCATGAAACACCACTGCAGAGACCAAACTAATTCAAGCTAAAGAGGTAGATAACCATCAGAAAAATGCTGGTTTGTGTTGAGCAAGGCAGATCCCAATAGGATCACGAATGTCATTCTCCTCTTTCTTCAGTTTTAAAGAGTGAATGTATTTGACGCTTTAAGGAAACCAGAAATCCCTCTGGATCCAATAAATTCCAATTCAGCTTTATCTTATTGAGTAACTAATATGATCCAACCGTCCACATAAACACAAGAAGTGCTGAACACAAGCAAAATAACTCTTTGTACTGTGAGTAGTACTTTGTTTTGGACTTCATGGTATCTTTCTCTGCAACAGTCCATGGAGGATGTGGATTCCAATAGTTCTAAAAACAATGAAATACAGCATTAATGTGGATGTTCTGCTTTCACTCAAGGGATGTGCTACCCAGGCAATGCCAGATGATGCCCTAATGGAGGTACTTATTCCTGTATCTTTTATATTAAAAATATATATATATATTGATATGTAAGGTGTGCTCTATATGGACAAAAAGAAAGTAAGGCAGTAGAGTGCAGGGGAGCCCAGTCCTGCAGTAAAAACAAAGCTGCCATGCCCTCCAAGCCTTCCTGTGATAACAGGGTTTAGTAGCTTCCACCTCAACCCAAATGAGTGCTTGAAGAAGTTGTCTAAGTGCTCTGAGTATAATTGTCCTGTGACAAGCACATCTCTTTCCCTAAATGTTTAGCAGGTTTGCATTAGGAGAGTTTTTCAGAGGTCTCCAGTGCAAAGGTCAATAAACTAACACAATCCCAGTTTGGAGACAAGAAATTGGAATAGTTTATTGGATTTACAACTTCATATTTAAAGGATTTAGGGTTTGCATATTTAACAGGGGGGTTACATATTCATTCTATTACAATTAGAGGGTTTCACAAGGATGTCAACCCAGGCTGACAATCTTGGGGTCTTAGGAATTACCTCATGGGAAAAATCTATTTTTACCTTTGGGGATTTTACAGGGGGGGGTGAGGTATTCCCATCTGCAGGATTCAAGGGATCCAGAGAATGCACATGCAAAGAGGGGAACACAAAGGGTTTTATGCAGAGGTCTGATGAGATCAGGATGTGGGTCTCTGGCTCGGGTAGGGCACGTGATAACATCATGTAAGGAGTCTCTACACATCCTGCTGAAGAAGGCAGGAAGAGTCCACAGAGATGAGGTCACTGCAGAGGGGTTTTCCCAGCTTCTGCAGCCCATGGCCTTCTGCAGAGACCACTCAAATTTCTTTCTGCAGATATCATACTTTGGAAGCCAACACTCCAAGAGACTTAGGATGAATTTTCAGTGAGAACACCATGACCCATGTGGTGATTCCAGACAAGCCAATGAAGTGCAGGAGAACAAACGACAGCTTTGTCCTCGGGCAGCCAACAGGCAGGGTTTGGGCACAGCTCTACATGAATTAAGCTCTAGTGCTTCTCATCTGAGCTGGGACAGTTATCATTCAAGTGCTGGCTCTGCCAGCTTAAATCCAGGGAAGCTGTGAGCCTTGTGCTGGCCTTCAGGTGGGACATGTGGCTTGGCTTTGTCTGGGCTGAGCAGCTCTTGTGCTCTTTCGTGCTTGCTGCCAACCAGAGGGACTCTGGAGCTGAGGATGGTTTCATCCTTTCAGCTCGAACCACCCGCTACCAAGACTGAAAATGCAACAGATACTTTCACTCAGATTGGCTTTTTCTATGTCACATTCTTTCCTTGTTGGAAAGGTTATTTCAACATCTCACTGATTTGTTGCATTTGCTTTTCCTTACTCACCGTGCCTGCTGTTCTTAGCACAGGAAGAGCCCATTGCTTTGCTCCATTAAAAGGTTTACTGTAAGAAGGTTGAGATCACTCTCCTGAGCTGTATTAGGTGGAAAGCATTGGTTGTGTGTTTTTTGTCCCAGTGTTCATTCTCTGCTGTTATTTAAGGACATACATAGACAAATTGCTAGCCCTGAAGCCTCTTGCTAATGATTTATACACTCTGCCAGTGTAGTTAGAATACTTCTAATACAAACCTTTTTTTTTTATTATTTAACCCAGCTATTCCTTACTCTGTATGCCTTATTTAACAAGTTGCATTTTTTTCAGGTAGCAAAGGTTGGCCAAGATAACAATGCATTTTAATGATTGATTTGGTAGGATAAACCGAAGAAATAATCTCTGCAGGAATTTTATCATTCCAATTGTCAGATTTAAGGGATGTTGATCCTTTAAGAACTGAGACCAGATTGCACAAGGTTTTGTTTCATCTCCTAATCCATATTTTCTTCAGTTCCACTCTCCCCTCTCCTAGGCTGCAAATGTAATGAATAGGTTTGATTAACAAATGGATAATGAGAAAGCAGAGGTCTTCCTACTGCTGCTGTCTGCTAGTCACAGACAATTCCACTTCAGTCTTTCACTCAAAACAGAACAAGCTGCAGAAAATAAGTGCTTCCATGAAAAATAAACAGGGAAACATCTGCCATGGAAAACAAGAGATGCCACTAAATAAACAAGCTTCAAAAAAGAAGCCCTCTATCCTCTTTTATCAGAGAGGTGAAACAGAGAATATTTGCATGTCTCTATAGTTAAGCTAAATTAAAGAATATGCTTTTATAAAAACTTGTCTTCCTCTTTCTGATCAAGGAAATAACATCATTTTCCAGTGTCCAGAAGTTAAAACTCTCAACCTACCATAATTAAACTCAGAAACAGTTACCTATAATATGTGAGATTCCATTCCAGTTTTACCCATGTGTTTTCTCCAGAGTCACATTTTCCACCCCAGTGAAGACAGACAGATGTGATCAAGAGTAGTCAGAGCAAGTTAAATCTGTGTAGTGATGTGACATGTTGCAGAGTACAGGTAAAAAAGAACTTTTTGCTCCTTTTAGGTTGAAATCTGTGAGACTTCCAGAAGAGGAAATGACTCCAATGGTTACACTTGCTGCATGTGGAGGAGCTGTAGAGCAAACCCAAATTGTACCAAATCAGCAGGCACTCTAATGCTGTTACATCTGCTCTTGTTTTCTTTTTTTCAGGACAAGAGTTATAATTTATGCAAAAGGAGAGCAATCAGAAGTCCCTAGATTTGTAGAAGTAGTGTGATGAGGCAGATAAAGAATGGTCTTAAGATCCCAGATACAAACTAATGTGTATTGATTTTTAACAAAGTAAAAATTAGATGCAATGCTGTTTTTCCAGTCTTTGTTACTGCGTCTTCCTAAGGAGATAAATTTAAATTCAAATGCAAAGATAATTCAAGTGGAGATTTCAGTTTGGTCTTGAGTAATCCAGTGTTGGGGGAATATGATGCTCTGTCGATTATTTGAAATTGAATCGATTATCTTACCAAACACACAGGTATTATTTCATCCTAGAAGACAATACCAAAGTCAGAAGGAATGTTTATATATTGGAAATGACCTGGTTTTTCAAGTGGAAACCATTAGAGAAGAAATTGAGGTTTCCTCATAGGATTTTATGATTCAAAACAACAATTCATGCCACATAAACAAAAATGCTTCCAGCCTGAGAACATGTGTATCAGTTTTGTAGGATGATGATGCCAAAATGGCAAATGGCAATAAAGATTTAAAATAGGAATCAATCTTAAATTTTATTTTCATGTTACTAATCAGAAATTGTATAGTATGTAAATGCCATATATAATAAAAGGGAATATAAGAAATTTCAGATGGATCATTCCAGAACAATGCAATTCATATAAATAGTTTGTCTCAGCTAGAAAGAATTCAGCAGCATTCTTAGAAGAATATTTGTTCCATGTAAATGAAATTGGACACAGAGAACTCAAAACAAATTGGATGCAGAGAACTATAGCATGGCTTGCTGCATCCATCTCATTTCCCAGCACTCTGATCCCTGAGCACTCTCCGTGTCTGGGGCAGTGCTCAGGCTGCAGAGCTGGCAGGCTCCCAAGGGGCTGCATCCGACACGGAATCTCTCCCTGACTGCACCCACTGGCAAGTCCTGTCTAGCAAGGCTCCTTCTCCGTGTCCTCTCCTCCCAGGGTCACACGAGGCCACAGGCAGCTGGCTCAGAATGGGCTTCTGCCTCACTTGACTGCAGCAGGAAAAAAGAACGGAGAGGTTCTCTCTGGTGCCTCGCTCGTGCACGAGGAACCGGCTGCTCCTTCTGCCGTCACCTCGTGGCTTTGGGGGGAAGGTCTTGTTTACATCCCTCCTTCAGCAAATTTGCAGATGACACTAAGCTGGGGGTTAGTGTTGAACAGCTGGAGGGCAGGAGGGCTCTGCAGAGGGACATGGATAGGTTGGAGAGTTGGGTTGATTCCAACGGGATGAGGTTCAACAAGGCCAAGTGTCGGGTCCTGCACTTTGGCCACAACAACCCCCTGCAGCGCTACAGGCTGGGGACAGAGTGGCTGGAGAGCAGCCAGACAGAGAGGGACCTGGGAGTTCGGATTGATAGGAAGCTGAACATGAGCCAGCAGTGTGCCCAGGTGGCCAAGAAGACCAATGGATCCTGGCCTGGATCAGGAACAGTGTGGCCAACAGGTCCAAGGAAGTGATTCTTCCCCTGGACTCAGCGCTGGTGAGGCCACCCCTGGAGTGCTGGGTCCAGTTCTGGGCCCCTCAGTTCAGGAAGGACAATGAGGTGCTGGAGCAGGTCCAGAGGAGGGCAATGGGGCTGGGGAAGGGACTCAAGCACAGGTCCTATGAGGAGAGGCTGAGGGAGCTGGGGCTGTTCAGCCTGGAGAAGAGGAGGCTCAGGGGAGACCTCCTCACTCTCTACAACTCCCTGACAGGAGGGGGGAGCCAGGTGGGGGTTGGTCTCTTTTCCCAGGCAACGATCAGCAAGACAAGAGGGCTCGGTCTGAAGCTGTGCCAGGGGAGGTTTAGGTTGGATATTAGAAAGAATTTCTTTCCAGAGAGGGTGGTCAGCCATTGGAATGGGCTGCCCGGGGAAGTGGTGGATTCTCCATCCCTGAAGATTTTTAAGATGAGACTGGATGTGGCACTTAGTGCCATGGTCGAGTGACCACAGCTGTAGTGGATCAAGGGTTGGACTTGATGATCTCAGAGGTCCCTTCCAACCCTGCAGATTCTGTGATTCTATGATTCTGTGATTCCCCTCACCGTGTGGTTATCCTCCCTGGAAATGGGCACCTGGTCTTTGCCACCTCAGGAAGACAGAAGCATGGGAATGGCCAACACTTACCCTGTTCCCTTGTTGCCTGAGGGTTTTTTGATTTTTCAATTTTTCTAATTTCTATAAGTTTTAGAAGTAGTTATATAGCAAATGCAGATTTTAGAAGCAGCTGCATTTATTCCCTCACCCTTTAGCACAGTAGCTACACAGAACCCCAACCCTCTTACCCCATTCCATGTTCCCCATATCAATTCCCCCTTAAATTCCATTTAGCATATTTAGTCTTCTTTTCAAGGTAAGTCTTCTACTGTTTAAGAACATCTGCTCCCTACCCTGAACTGCAAGATATAACCGAGGACTGTGTGCACTGTGTGCTCCAAAGAAGAGGAAGATGATGAAGAGAGGGTCCTGATACAACCCCAGACCCAATTCCCAGGTCAGGGGGTGGAACAGGGCAAAGGCCAGGGGTGGATGATTCAGGGATTGGATGGACATCATTACAAAATGTTAACACTGGGTCAAGAGCAGCAGCATGTGTAACTTATAACCTCAGTGCCTGAGAGGCATCATTAAAACCTTCCCTCACCTTACCTCCAAAATTAGATTGCCCTGGAGTTTTTTCTCCCTGAGTTTTCTTTAGGCAACACCCTCTTAATGCTGTTCTTTAAGGTGTGACCTTGTCCTTTCACATGTGTGTGGTGTTCCTTCAGGCTCCTTGTGGTTCACCTGTTGGACAGACTGCATCTTGCTGTTTATTTGGGATTCACTGTCTATGCATAAAGTAAGGTCAAAAGTGAATAATGTGATAATTCTGGCTTGCCACCTGTTCTGAGTGAGCTCAGTAGCACTTAGCAGCAAATCCATTTCTGCCAGAGTTTTATCAGCTCTAGGAGATACCAAGCCCTGTTTGAAAGTCTCCAAGGACCTGAATGTGTGTCATAAAATGAAAAACAATACTAATAGCTAATTCTTATTACTAATTTTTGTTTTATTTTGATTTTTTAACATTTTAAAAGTCACTTCTTAGATCTTATTTTGCATTTATCTGATAAATTAAATGTGCTTTACTTCTTTCCTCCTTACAGACTATGATCAAGCTCCTGCTGAGCATATTTTTGATATGTCAGTTCACTGGATCTCCATTAGTATGCTTATTCTGTAAGGTTGATTTTCCAGTTCTAGAAAGGTTGCTGTAATTCTCTTATGGACCTTTCTGGTAGGACAAACACCTGAACTGCAAACAGGATGCTAATATCAGAGTGGTCAACTGTCATATCCATCCACAGAAAAAGTTTCTTCTGATATTCTGTATTTTCTTCTATGCCTTTATTCCTGTTAACTATACTACTATAAAATTTTCTTAGTCATTTTTTTCCTAAGGCAATGCCTACAGCATAAGAGCATCTTGCCTGTCCTGTCCTTACTTAATTACAGAATTGGAGAATAGTTTTCTGGAAGTGATGTGCTGCCTAACTTTGAACAAGTTACCTTTTTTTCCTGTGACTTTGGTAGCCTGTGTGTGGCACGGATGGGGGGGAAGGTGCTGGGGTGAAAGGAGTGCCTGAGTGAGAAGGGATTTTATGGAGGGATAAAAACTAAAATGCTCGTTAGGAGGACAGAGCCCTTCAGGATGTCAGCAGGATGAGGTGTATAATTACTTTGTTTTTGAACGTGTCCTTCCAAACATGCTCACTAAATAGTGCTTATACCAGTTATGAAATCTGTTATCTATGACATGGAAAACACGAGAACTGTGGTAATTTAAAATAAGTTAACACCTTCGTAAGAGAAATTTGGATAATTTTGGGGTTTACATCTCTCTTTCTCCAGTTCTTATGGACTCCATTGCTGTTGGATTTTTTTAGTTGAGTTGAGTTTTGCTCGTCCATTTTAGGTGTGAGATATACATGCAAAAAGTTCTTAAATATGTAAACTTAGTTACACTATTTGCCCCAGAAGATCACTAGAGCTGACAAGGTACAATTTTTATCAGAATAAAAAATCCTTTTCAGTTTATAATTACATTTTGTGAAAACCTTCAGGTCTCGAGCATCCATCCTGAATGAACTACGAAGCGAATAATTTACATGACTTTATTTTTCACAGGGAAGCTGATATTCAAACTGATGATAAAATACATCAGTTTCAAAAGCTTGTTTTGAGTAGCCACTACCAAACAGGGTAACTGCCTTTGGAAAACGGGACATGCTTCTGGTCATGCTCTTGCATTCCTGCAGTGTACCCTACCCAGGTTGGGTGAGCAATGGGTGCTGCATCTCTCACGTAATTCTGTAAATATCTAAGCCACGCCACAGGGAAAGCACAGCATCTCCAGCTCCAGTGCAGATGTTTTCCATACAGGAAGCCTCTAATCCAAACTTTCCCTTCTCTCCTCTTGCTGGCCTCACATGGCCTCATCATGTTCTTTGCTCATTTTGAAACAATAATATACATTTGAATGGCAGCCAGGCCAATTGCAGCCTGCCTTTCAAAAATCACCCAGTCCTTCTGACAATTGCATTTAGCAGAACATTCCAATCAACCAGAGTGGGGGTAGAAAATAATTTAATTTTTGTTGTTAATGAGTTCAAGGATGATGATCCACTAAGTAAATCTTATTTCTTCTTCAGTCATTTCCCATCAGTCCCACATTCAGGCACAAACCGTATATGTGCACGTCTTTATTCATACTAGAAATGTTTCCAGATTGCACAAAGGAGGTATTTGCCAAAGCATTTCTCTGAAGTGTTTCTACTTCTGAACAAAAAATCAAGGTGAACCCCGAAGGATGCTGTACAGCACTTTCTTGTGTCATAGCTTGTAAAGCCCAATTCAACAAACTGGTTTTCCTGTGATTAAATGTTACATTCTCACTTTGAAGTGACAGGGTGTCAGAATGACATGAATTGCTTGAAAAGTTTCAAAGCAGAGCTCAAGTGACTTGTTTTAAAGGATTTGTATATTCCTTGTGTTTGCAGAATAAGAGGCAGCTTTGTGTTTTTTTC